CTTTTTATAATTGTCCTTTGTGTCTTTCAATTTGTCAGAGAGTTCTTTATGCAGTCATGCTGGTTTCTTTTGAGAGCTATTATGTTTCTTCTTCATTAATATTGTGCTAGACTGGGCTTTTCTCACTTTTCAAAATTTCCCAAATTTGAGTTGTTTTCCCCTTGAGGATTCTCATCCATGGAATCCATCCCAAGCTCTCTCTAAGTTTATTGAAATAAGCTCTCTTTATTATTATCATTAAAGATGCATTGTCATAGAGTTACTAAAGCAGGTGATTGTATGATGAATGCTCTCTGCTCCTGATCAGCAGAAAGAATCAAGAATGAGAGGTGTAACATATTATCTTTTCTATTCATATGAAGGGTGCTAAAATATCCAGTGAATTTTGAATTTTGCAATTCTGACACTGGCAATATTACACATCTTCATAAAATCTAAATATTATCGAAAAGAAAGAAAATCTGGCTTAGACTGCAGAATATTGATTGTTGTTGTTTGGCTGGCAATGGGAAGACCCTAAATCTAACACTGAAACATTGAGGAATAGGCTAATATTCAGTGAATGATAGATGTCATTTTATTTTTGCAGCAAATACAATAATCATGACACAAATTCTTTTTTATTTATGTCAAATAAATGCTAGCATTGCTAAGCTTATTATATGTTTAAGATCTTATTGGAATATTATACCATTTTCATTGCACTTTTTATTTTCTACCATTATTTTCTTCAGGCATGTCATCGTATATATGTTTCCTAGATGAAAAATATAATCAGTTGTTTGGCCTCCTTAATGGTTGTGAATCATCTTTCCATTTGGGTTTAGACTCTGGCTACAATTTTTTCTGCGTGACATTCCAACATAATTTGTGTTTTCAATATGTCTCTTTTTAGCCCTTATGCTTCAAGGATATGACATTCTATTATGAAGCCTTTAACAAAAACTCAGAGAAAAAAAGATTAGCTGAGCATATATACTATAACTATTTTGCATATATGCCAACAACACCAACAAGTTTAGGTATATTTTTAAACTCTTGATCCATTCTTCATGGAAAGAACAATAATAGATTTTTGTCAGTTTTCATTCTAGAGTTTTGTCAGTTTGCATTCTAGAGTTTCAAGGAAATGATAAGTAGCTTAATTTTTAATTGATTAAACTGATTAAGTTGATCAGTCTCTCTTTCTCACATTAAATTATCAATATTACTTGCCTTAAAATATCTTTCTTTATCTTTTATCAAAAATGAAGAATTTGCATGCTGAAATGTTAGAACAAAGAATGTTAATTTCTTTGTGAATAGCAGGAATAAATATCATTCCAATATGCTAAAAACTGTTTGTAATCTACCAGTTCACCAGAGATTATTATATATGAGAGGAATGAAATTCTAATTTAGTTCATTGTAATTTACTGATACACATGTTAACTTAAAATATCCTGAAATTCATTGGTCACAACCCTCCTAGATTTCCAGAGACCTTAAAGAGTATGTACTTCCCACAAACATTGGAGTGGAGTGATGTTGGATCATAAGAAAGTTAACTTTTAAGGTGTTGGGAAATGTAATTTGGGGGGCACCAGGAGTTTTTCTGATTATATTTTTCCCATTGTTATTGTTTTTTGAAACTTGGCCAGAGTTGTGCTGCTTAGGAAGAGCAGCTGTAGAAATCTTTTAAATAAATAATTACTTTACTTGATTGCTTCTCTCAATAAAAGGTAGTGGATATAGTGTCTGTAGTGGTTGAAGGCTTGAAATTAGCAAAGACAAACCATTTTTTTAAACATAGATTCTGAGTCAATAAATATTATCAAAATGTCCCCATGAAATTTTTTAATATATTGGTAAAGCACAAAAACACACATGACAATGATGACATAAATGTGCAAGAGATTCTGTCATTTTATTTATGCCATCCTATCTTAACACTGGTTTTTCAATTTAATCGTAATTAACATTTATATGTTTACATTTGGTTTATAGTATGTCTCATAATGTTTTGTGTTGTATGAAAATTGTAAAGTTGCATGACTGTGCTATGTTTGAGTTGTTTCTATTGATTATCTTCACTGTCCAGTGTTCTTTCAATATGGGTACCTAAACAATACCAAAACTAATTTAGAAAAAGGGAAATTTATATGACTACCGTACCTATCAATATAATTGAATATTTTTCTATTATAGACAGCACAAATTTTGCAGCCATGTAAACCCAGACATAGTTTTCTATCCATTAGCAAAATTAAATATTATGGTAAAATGTTGTTTTGGTACATATGCACAGATGTACAGCATATATTTCAATTTGGAATTGCAGATTCGTTTCTTTAACCTACTTGTATCTCAGCTATTAGTAAACATCAATTATGTAGATGGAAAAGTTCAGTGATTATAGTATAACTCCAATCCCATGTTAGTGTTAATATAAAAGGGGTGACAAGCTGGAGCTTTTTAAAAATGTGCAAATGTAGTGGAGACTATTTATTAGGGCTCTGAAAAGCATTTATACAAGATGCTTTGCAAAGCATGTTGACATGAATGAAGTATCATCTCTGATTCATTAATATACCTGAGTTTTGCAAGATTTGTTTGCTTGATTTGAAGGGTGTTTTCCAAATTTCTCAATCTTTATGTACACAATATTTCTTCTAGGATCAGCAGCAAAGTGGTGTGATTAGGCATGCACATGCATAAACCTAAGCAGGGCATTCTTCAGATGAACTTTGCATGCTTTCAAATAATGTGGCTGCTTTAACATTTCAAGTAGCACATCATTCACCCCGCTACATTTTCAGAAGTGCCTTTCTTTAATGCTTTGTAGCCCCTCTGCCTATAAATCTTAGTATTAACTACTCTCTTATTATTTTATAGGTTGTGGCTGTTAGATCAGCTTTTCCCATGTTGGTACTACTCAAATGTGTTACGACTACTGTTCTCAAAATTCTTAATCAAGCTACCCAAAAGATAGAAAATCCTGGAAGTTGTAGTTCTAACTAATTTTGAAACTACCAAGTGGCAGATAATGTATTAGAACACTGAGTTCAATGCATCATTAAGAAGACATATTTCCTTTGAAAATACTTTCTAAGAATTTTCTAAGCTGGAATAATTCATAATAATTCCTTGGTATCTATTTGATATGTCCATTCCACTTCTGCAGTTAATACTGATATAGACTGATATAGGATCAAGGCCTTAGCACATTATTAGTACCAAAAAATTGGGAACCAGCTGTGCATTAAACAGTCTTTAAAGTCTGCACTAAATTGATGGAATAAGAAGCTCAGTTTTCTCATTCTGCACATTGGAGTGAAGGAAGAAATTGTGTTAAGCCTTTAAGCATCCATAGGATAGGGGATGGGGAGGAGGCAAATAAAAAAGGATAATAACATCATGATAGAAAACATGAAATTTACATCAATTACAAATAGGAATGTATCATGACATCATCACACACATATCATCATTTTGACATAATTCTAATTTTCTATGGAAGTGTATAATAAAAAGGTTGAATAAAAAATTACATGCTAGAAAAGAAAGGGCTATGTCCATTCCTGGAAGGCATTTTATCCAATAGAAGGCTTCTGTGGGCAATATTTGCTGATTCCCTCTTCTCTGCAGCCAGATGTATCTTCTGATCTCCTTTATTCTGGATAACATGATTAAGTTATGAAGTAGCTTCCAGATGAAACAAATGACTTCTGGGGAATTGTGGATTATACAAAGGCCATTTTCCACTTTCATTGTTTAGAGTATCCTCTATTGGTCTAAGCAAAGCCTGGATCCAGTTCAATGACTGCAAATGTTGACTGATTGAATTAAAATCCCAGCTGAGGTTCTGTTAAAATGATAATAGTAAACTGAAGTCAATACAGATGGCTGCTTTATATGATAAATGACATGGGAATAGTCTTACAGAGGGTCCTTATTTAGCAATTGGAACTGGAAGTTCTGTTGTTAAGCAGTGGGGTCTTAAACTGAAAACCATTTGACCATCTCACTTAACAATGGCAGCTACAGGAGTCCCAGTTGCCATTGTTAAATAAGGATTATGAAGGTCTTTAAGGACCTCTTGTCACCTCATGACTCCAGATTTTCTACTGGCTTCCCCATTGCTTTATTTGTGGGAATCTAGAAGGAAAGATCATAAATTGTAATCACATAGCTACTGTAACAATTATAAATATGAGGCCTAATCATAACTACCATTTCTTCAGCCCTATCATAAATTCAAACAGTTGCTGAGTGAGAGGTTATTAAATGAGGATCACCTGTACATTGACTTTTCTTATAAAGAAGGAGCATAGATTTATTTTGTTCTTTTCTTTTTTTAAATATTTTTAAATCTTCAGAAAGAAAATATATGATCACCCTATTTTTAATTACTGTCCTTTGAAATGGCCATCTGTGTTCACTTTATTTTATCATTAACACAAAAGTTCAACAAATTAGCCCAAGTAGTACTTTAAATTCATCAGAAGTTTTCAACATAGAGAATTGGTCAGATCCATTGCAATGGAAAGGAAAAACAATAGGCTTTAATTTTGGACATTATAAAATAGCCCTTGATTAAATGCTGGTTGTCTTCTCCATAAAAAGAGATATCTGCAATCCCCTTTTCTTGCTTAGTGTCCATGAAAAAACATTTCCATGGCTGCAGTTGAAATTAAATTTTCAGTTAATGTCTATGTAAAACTAGTTTCAAAGAAAAATGAATTGCATTTTTCCTCAGAGTGGAAAAATTCCCAGCTATCAATTTTTTAAAGTGAATGTACTTTTTGACTTAAGAAAGCAAGATAGTATACCTGAAATCTATAATATTCCTGTATCACTGTTTCCAAAGGATCATTTTAGGAAGAAACTTCAGTTTGGTCATTATCTTGGTATGGAAAATGGTACCCATTATTGAAAGGTGGTCTGTATTTGTACTAATACAGAGAATGCCATTTTAGAAATGAGCCTGATTGCATGGTTCATTTTGTTCTCCTTTGTAGAGCCAGGCTGCGGCCCACTACAAAGGCACTAAACATGCCAAGAAGCTCAAAGCACTGGAAGCCATGAAAAATAAGCAGAAATGTGTAACTACAAAGGACAGCGCAAAGACTATCTTCACTTCCATCACTACCAATACCATCAATACCAACTCTGACAAAACAGGTTAAGCAATAATTTCTGTTGTGATTTATTTCTTTTCCCCTTGTTGACTGCCCTGTCCACTGGGTTATGTAATTGCCATGCTGATTCATGCTTGAGCCATCATTCTGTATAATATTGATTTCTTTCTTCTTCTTAGTATACTTACAAGGGGAAGGTAATTGTGGCAACATGTGTAACTGATTTCTCTTTTGCACAAAGATGTTTGTCATCATGTCAGGCGTGAACGCATATATTTTTAAGATGAGTAATATCTATTGCCAGCAAACAATTAAGCATAAATTGCTCAGAGCCTTGTAGTCTAGGCCAGAACTGCTCCCCCTTTGCAGCTTTCTGTGACTCTTTTTTTAAAGCATTTTGTCAACACTTTATTGTCACATATTATTATTTCAAAAGGTATTGCATGATTTCAAATTGGATAATTTCCATGTAACCTTTATCCACTTTATAAACAGGTAAGTGTGACCAAAATGGATTATTCTTATATTTCAGTTTCACAGATTGAAAAACAGTATCTAAGTTTAAAATTATTGATCAAGTTTCTCTTTATTTCTTCTAGAAATAGAAACATTGCAAGTAGCTGCTAAATTGGTGGGATTTGAGTCTCTTCGTATTTAAAATCTGAACCACTGTTGGGAAACTTTATAAACAGACAAATAAGTATTTTATAGAAAAGAAGTGATTTTGTCCTTTTCTTTTCTAGTATTCAAGGTCTATACCTCTGGGTGAGATGGGCAGCATACAAGTTTAATAAATAAAGATAAATGATGTACATAAAAAGGTCAAGATGCATTTGCATCTGAATGATATAAAACAAGTAAATGGTTTATTTTTTATAATGTGGTCACTTGATAGAGACGGTTCTTTGAACTGTTGCTAATTTTGTCAGCCCTCAGTGTGGAAGTTCTGCCTTTGCTTATGGCCAGCTGCTCTTTTAATTAGTGTTCATTATTAAGGAAACAGGAATTTTACACTGAACTAAATTGGTTCTTGCCAGAGGGATAACCCATAAGACATACTGATTTGGCTTTCCCTTAATAAAATAAATTGAATTGAGACAGTTTTTCTTCTTTTTAATTAATGCATATAAAATGGATACTTTACACTGATTAGCCTACAGACAGTAGGGCAGAGTGGTAGAGTTGGGGAGATGCTTAATGTATCTGTAACAATGACTACATTTGAATCTTGATTGTTGTGTTTTTTTTAAAAAGTCCCTCAATTGATTAGTTTTCATTCAAAATAGACTTATCCTTTGTAAAACATACAGTTACAATTGCAGGTACTGTGGCACTTGGATAAAGTAGTAGTAGTAGTACCGTGTTTGTCACAAAATAAGGCTGGGCCTTTTTTTTTTTTTGACCCCTGAAAAAACAACTAGGCCAACATTAACATTCTTCTAGACTACTATATAAAAAAGAATTGAGATCTGAATTGGAGGAATTGTGGAAATTTGTCAACTTGCTCCATCGTTAGCCGGAATCTGGTTTCTAATCTGACCCATGATCTTTTTTTCTGTATTCTTCTGAATTTTCTTTTCATTTTTTCATATATATTCTAGAGCAGTGGTTGCCAATCAGTGGGCTGGGGACCACTGGGGGTCTGCGAGAAAATTTTGGTGGTCCTCAGAGAAATGTCACCCCTAAAGCAATTAATCCAGGCTGTGCGGGAATATAAGGCTGTGCTGCCCACATGGCCCACGGGAACACAAGGCCTGCATCTCTTGCATTGTGAACAACATGAGGTAGTGAGGAGAGGGGGGAAAGGGTGAAGGGGGGAACTTGCCCCACTTGCCCTACATGTCTCGCCTGGCCACCGAGCTTCTTCTTTCCGCTTCTTTTTTCTTCTGCTTTTGGCTGCACACAAGGAAAGCAGCAAAAGTCTTCTTTCTCTCCCCCAAACTCTGCCAGAAATGAGTCTTTGGGACCCTGCAAGGCATCCTTCTCAAAGAGGCTGTGTTTTTTTGAGATTTAATATTGTGAGTTTGGTAGTCTCTGAGATCTAAAAGTTTGGTGATCCCTGTTCTAGAGATCTCTTTATCAATAGGAATTTAGGAAGCATGTGACTAATGTAGATATTTGTATCATAAACTTTGCTTTAAGGTGTATTCCATCTAGAATTACCTTAGATTTTTGGATATAATCCCTATGATCAAAGCTTGTTTCCTAATTTTATGACTTGATTTAGAACATTTTTGAATATTTTCATTCTTTTCTCTCACTCTCTCTGTCTCTCTCTGTGTGTGTGTCTGTTTGTCTGTCAGTCTCTGTCTCTGTCCTTGTACCTGTGTGTGGTGGCTGTGATTATATTCTCTCTTTAATTCTCAAAATAATCCACCTAGGTCGAAGTTGTACTAACATTCCTGGAAGTAAATTACTGTGCAGCTTATTGTTATGTGACATGTTTAGAATCATATTATTAAAAGCATTTTAACTTTATATATAAAATTAATTTTTGCCAATGGTTGATAACTCCTAAATTCAGTTAATTTCTTTTTGATGATTCCATTATTAAACTTCCTTCTAAAAAATACTGTTAGTTTGTATTGCAAACAGCTTTTTCATTGGAAGAAAAATGAAATTGTATGGCATAACAATTATATCCAAAATCAAAACCTTATCTAGCTTTTTAGATTTTTTTATTCCTCCTTTATTATTCTTATTAATAAATCATACTTCCTCCTCCTTCCTATTTTCCCCAAAACAGCAACACTATGAAGTGACTTGATTGGAGAGTGGTTGTTTCAAATTCACCCATCCCTTCTTTTTTGCTATTTATTTCAGATATTTATATTTTAAGCTTATGATTAAAATTTTCTTTCATTCAAGATTGAAGGCAAACTCATCTAGCATTTTCATACTTTTATTTCAAAAGTCTTTAGTGGTTTAGGAGTTAACGAACAATTCCTGAAGATGATTAAAAAGTGAGGTTTGCATTTTTAAAATCTGTTTAATGGTTGTGAACAAGGTTACTAAATCACATTGTTTCCCAGCACTCAGACCCATGGAAAATGCTGTCCTGTAGTCTCCTTGCAAGAATAGTAACTTGGAGCACATGTAAGTCATCTGCTGCCCTCTTCTTAACAGATAACAGATAACCAGAGTTGGAAGGGACCTTGTAGGTCATCTAGTCCAACACCCCGCCCAAACGGGAGACCCTATACAATTTCTGACAAATGGCAGTCCAATCTCTTCTTGAAAGTCTCAAATGATGGCACTCTCTCAACTTCCGAGGGCAAGCTGTTCCATTGGTTGATTGTTCTCACTGTCAGAAAGTTTCTCCTTATTTCCAGGTTGAATCTCTCCTTGTTCAGTTTCCATCCATTATTCCTTGTCTGGCCTACAGGAGCTTTAGAAAATAGTTTGACCCCTTCCTCCCTGTGGCAGCCCCTCAAATATGGGAAGACTGCTATTATGTCTCCCCTGGTCCTTCTCTTTACTAGACTAGTCAAGCCCAGTTCCTGCAACCGTTTTTATCCATAAAGATTCCAAAGAACCTGTCTACTTGCTGGTTCCTTGATCTTTGCCACAGTCAATGCAAAAGGGACATCACATTTTAAATTTTTAAAAAAATCATTTGGGCAAGATCTAATATATCTTTTGAAAGCTGTTAAGCCTGAATTCCCCAACGAGTGTTAAGGAAAACAAACTAAACAGAATGTGTAGCGTAGTCAGATAGGCAGACAGGTAAATGTGTGAGATAAGTTTGTATTTTAGTTAACACGCAGTAAAAAACAGATACGCTTGTGCTATCAAAAATATAGTTTATTCCATTAGGAATTATAGCATAGTCAAAATAAACGGTCCATTAGTCATGTATCATTTCAGTCAGTCCAGTCGG